TTTTTAATTTGTAAATTAATTTCACAACAAATTCCATTCATATAATAAATGTAACAATAGTTTTTAATATTTTTAAGATAACAGAAGAAATACCTACTAATGAGGTAAGTGCCTCTATAAAACATTCATTTTTTTTAATTTGTAAATTAATTTCACAACAAATTCCATTCATATAATAGATGTAACAATAGTTTTTCATTTTTGTTTAGATTACAGAAGAATCACCTATTAGTGAGTTAAGTGAATTTGAAAAACATTTCAAATCTATTACGCCAGACTTTAAAGACACAAAAATAAATTCTAAAATTTTAAAAAAGCTTTTAATGAAATTTGGTTATAAAGTAACTGAACAAAATAGTAAAGAATATTTATTAGAATTAGATCCAAAAGGTTAGTATGTAACGTGACAAAAGTATCTATTTATTTTTTTGTTTATTTGTATATTTATATATTTGTGTTGAGTCGAATGCGGACTGCGACGGCGTTTGTCAGTAAAATTATCATGATTTGTTTATGCGCATGCGAGATAGTCAGCTGTGTATTACTTCAGACCGGTTCATGGACGGCATTTGTGTGTACATTCGGGGTGCATGTAGCGGGGTGCTCCTTTCCCATCTTGAATGTCATTTGCACTGCTCACCGCATACATTGTCGCCTTATGATTTAAATTGTTCATAGTAATTTCCGGCACTGGGTATTAAGTTTTTTTTGACCCCTACTCTAAAGGCCAGCCGTGTTGTCGCCAACGGACCGCCGGGTCAAACGTCGGACGGGTTGTCGGAAATTAGCCATCATCGGAACTGGTCGTCGCTAATTTTCGTCCGTAGTGGTCGTGATTTTTGTTGTGTGGGCTACAACTGTTTTTTATATACATACATTTTTTTACGTGAGTGTCCGCTGTTTATTATGTAGTTTTTTTTTATTGGCGTCGGCTGAACCTACCTCCAGTTTCTTTAGCCCTTCCGGGCTGGTAATGTATATTTAGTGTTTAATGTTTTGGGCCAGCTTTTTTTTATTAGTGAGCCGTGCCATAAGCACGCGTGGCGAGTTTTTTCTATTACATGTTTTTTAGATGCCCTTATTTTTTTATTTAGGTCCCGCAACATGGCAGGCGTGTTACGATACCACCTGTCATGTTATATCCATATTTTTTTTTATAGGTTTCATATTATATTTTATGGGTGATATGTATATTAGGGTGGCCCTCAAAAATCGAATGTCTTTTTTTTTACGCTACCCCTTAATTTTTTTTTAATGGTCAAAAAAATGAGCTGTGCAAAATTTGGGACCAATCCATTAAGATTAACCCGTGCCCCCGGGCCTATTAAGTTGAGTCGAAGAGTCAAATTTAATAGAAATAACTGATCTATGTATCATAACTTTTTTTTCTCTTAACTTAGAATAATAAAAGTAAAACTCAAGTAAAGGAAATTTTACAAGAAATTCAAAAATAATAACTTCAATGTTGTTTTCTCAATAAATAGCCCACAAAAACACNAAAATAATAACTTCAATGTTGTTTTCTCAATAAATAGTCCACAAAAACACTACATACAGTAAAAAACACGTAAAAGTCTTAAAATACGTTATAACTAATTTTGTTGATTTTTAATTATTTATTTTCATTTTATTTTTTGGAAAACGCATATTCGTTTAAAAAAAGATTCTAGAAGTTAATTTTTTTTAAATCCTACTGTGGTCCGACAATACACTGTCTCGCCCAGTAGTTTGGCGGCCCTTTTCTTGTAATTTTTTAATGCGCCATGAAAGTTACAAATTTTTTCGTTGCGGCCAATTAGTTTGATTTTTTTTATATTTCTAACCTTTCAAGTAATACTTTTTAATCGTAAATTAATTTAAGTAATGTAATCTATTCTAAAATCATTTGAGCTTAAATTATGCCAATGATATATACAGTACGATTTATTAAGAAGTCTACACCAATTTTTTTTATTAAATTGTAAAGATATTGAGATCTAGATTTGTTCCGCTGTCACAGATTATTTGAGTGTGACGCTGTGTGTCAAGTCGTCTGTTGTACTATTGATAAACGCAATTAAACTGAAGTATCGTGTTTAGTTCTTAAACTTATCGATAGGGATTTAAGAATTCAGTACTTAATACTTATTAGTGGTTTATGTAATTAACATAGCATAATCATAAATAATCGCATTAATATCAATTCACTTAATAGTACAGTGATGAAACTATTTGTTATTAAAAATATTTGCCATGAATATGCACAAGTTGAGTGGTCAGCTATGTGCTAGATCAGCACGACTTGTGCTATAGTTTATAACAAAGGGTTATTATTTTATTTATATTTATGAAACAAGTATAAATTACAATAAATTAAAATAATTAGAACCTAGAACGATAAAAAAAAAAAAACTGTAACACAGTGAGGTTTCGGCACAATGTAGACAAGTGTAGTTGAGACAAATATAGATCATATCTAACAATCATTAAAATCACTATCATAAAAAACGCTTCGATGCAAATCTGTAGATAGTGTTTAATTTTAAGAAATTGATGGATTGTTCTAAAAACAAAATGATCTCCTATTCCTTTCATTATTCTTGATTATTAGTTCTTTGATACATAAGTTAAATATATGAATTAATACCTATTAAAGTAATATCAACGAAATTGATATTTAATAATTAGTACTGTGATTTATACAGGAAAATTATAAATTATAATTATTATTTACTATAATATGTTTTACTATAATGTCTGTTGCCACTTTTTCTTAGCTCACACTGAACCGATTTCTTTCAACAATACGTCAAAAGATCACAAATCGTATTTAGTTGAAGACATTACCCTTGAAAATTGGGGGGGATTTAAAATAGTAACTTTTTTACAAAAACTAAATTTTTCAACTTAATTTTTGAAAATTTTCTGGAAATACTGTGTACTTTAAACATATATCGAATTAAAGCTTATTTTATATATTATAAAATGAAAAAAAAATTGGTCCCGACAGTTTATCTTCTGCATGTAAACGACTGCCGTAGTTAAAAAAACGCTATTTTTGTGTTAAAATTTTCGATTTTAAATTTTCAACTTAAAAATGCTATAACTTTTCTAAAAATGTATATATCAGCACATATTTTTTTTCTAAATACATAATAAGTACATCTTTCATTTAACATACTTTTTATTAAAATTGGATAATTTCCCCTTATATAGGGGTCGTTCAAAACTTGAAATATTGTAAAAAATATAGAACTTTTTCAACTTAAATGTTGAAAATGTTCCGGAAATACTGCGTCCTTTAAACATATGTCAAATTAAAACTTATTCCATGTACTATAAAATTAAAAAAAAAAAAGTTGTCCTGACGACATATCTTCTATGCGCAAATGTCTAACGTATTCAAAATTATGCTATTTTTGTATTAAAATTCTGGGTTTTGTATTTTATTTTATTTTAAAATATCTTATTAGGGAAATACACTGACTTTCATGAATATTATATAATTTCATTGACATAGAATACAGTTCAAAAGACATAAGAAATTAAACTTATTAAAATTTTTTTACTCTTTTAAAGTCGATTAAGTAATTTTTTAATTTTAGTTAGCTTAAATAGCCAATTTTATCATGTGACGAAAGCAACGAAAAGTTTTGTCTTTCATGCTTAGGCTACGAGGTTCAAATCCTTCTGTGGCAATAAATATTTTGCATTTTTTTTTGAGTTAGAATAAAATTTTCAAATCATTTTATAGTTATCTCATTTAGATTTAATAACTTCAATAAATATAAAGAATCCTATCACTATAGTTTCCTCTCGTGAGAAGAAATTTCTTATTTAATATTACTTTACTATGTGGTTCTTTTTGTGGCTACGATTTATTTTGCCAACCCTCATTTAACTTACTTTTTTCAATAATACGTCAAATGAAATCGTATTTAATATAAGATATTAACCTTATTAATATTTGAAAAAATATTCCTGATTCAAATAAAAAGGAACTTAACCAGATTTTTCCATACAAACAATTAAAATAATTAATTTCTAATATTTTTAAAGTATTTATTGTCGAAAGATCTTATATGATAAAAGTATTTAACTACAAAAGTAAATAATTTTACTTTGTTATTTATTAATTTTTTAACTCTATTTGTGTGTGCTACTACCAGTCTATAATATTCCCAATTTTTTTGTAACATGTTGCTATATAAAACATAAATTTAAAAAAAAAATTATTTTTAATTTCACCTGGATTTAACGATAGATTTTTACAATTATAATCAAATTTTATAATACTCAATTATGCTCAATTATAATAATTGATAATAATGCTCAATTGAGTAAATCTTTTTAACAACTTTTTTATTGTTTTTTTTAGATATATAACCATTAAAATTAATTGAAATCTGATTATTTCCATTGTAGAATCTTTTTAAACACCAAAAGTTAATTAGAAATGATTACTATGATTTTTATTTAAGTGATCTATTACGATAAAAATGTAAAAAAAACGAACATCTCTGATAAATGTACTGTAAATAGTCATTATAAAATTCCCTGATTGCATATTAATCTTAACAATTTTATTTTTTTCTATTTAATAATGTCAATTTCAAACTATAAAGTTGGGCTAAATGTTATGATAATAAATTCATTTTTTTTTTTATTAAAACTTTTACTTTAATGGACAATAAAAAGTAGGTTCAAAATGATTACTTTTAACATTTTAAAAATCAAAATCAATAATTTGAAAACAATTAATTTTAAAAATTATATAATATATAATTAAAAGAATTACTTTTGTAATTATCCACCAATTTCTTAGAATTAAACATTATCTACTAATTTGCATCGAAGCGTTTCTTATAATAGTGATTTTAATCATTGTCAGATTAAATTTATACTGGATTCAACTATGCCACGTCCCCACAGTGCTGGTTTTCGTTATATTCAATATTGTAACAGTGGACGAAATCATAGGTGAAACTAGGCACGGAATATATCTGTTTATTTGTATCTTATAGATTACTATAAAATAAATCTATACGACATATAGTTGAGATTTTTCAATTGTAGCAGCTATTTAAATACCAAGTGTTACATAAAAATAGTATTTCCATTGAGATGATTTATAAATAAATATTTATAATTAATAATAATAATATAAATAAAAAAAATATAATAAGTGATTTTAACAAAAGTTTGGGCTTTATTTATAAATTTACTGTTAATAGAAATTTTATAATTTTCTGACCAATTATAAATTTAAACAAAACCATTTTTTAATCTTCATATAATTTTCTATTCTATTGAATGATATTAATTTCAAACTTTAAAATCGAATTAAAAAAAAAGTTAGAAGTTTAATATTTTTAAATTATAATCTTTAATAATAATCAATTTTAAAGGACCAAAAACATAATTTAAACATGACATTTTGAATCAACATTTTTCATCGATTATTTTTTACATAATAAAATTCAAAATATTGACACTATTATTTACAGAGTGATTTTTTTATCATAACCAATCAATTACTTGCAGAATAATAATAATTTAAACATTTTTTTTTTCATTATCTTTAGTTACACATTATTCTTGAATTTTTAACTATGTAATACTTTTTAAGTTCATCCCTTATGCCTTGGAAGGGGGTCAACTTTGTTTTTTTAAATGGTAACACATATTTTTAATTTAATAAAATGTTTGAGTTTTTAATTTAATAGTAAATGGCATTTGAATTTTTAATATAACTTTATTAGCTTATTAGATATAAACATTTAAAGTTTCAAAATTTTGAGTTAATATACATGTATAATACACATGGGATTGTAAATACAGGTAGCTAATTGGATTTTTATGACATTGCTGTCTCAGTCACGGATTGTTTATTATCAATTATGATTATCAATAGATATACTTTCTGTATTGTCAGTTAGTGTATTTATAAACTCATAACAATGTGCCTTACTACAATTGATAATAACAATGCTGTGTACCTGCTAATATCGATGTTATAAAAAACCAATTAACTACCTATATTTGTAATCCCTTGTGTATTATACCTGTATATTAATTCAAAAATTTGAAACTTTAAATGATTATACCTAATAAGCTAATAAAGTTATATTAAAAATTCAAATGCCATTTACTATTAAATTAAAAACTCAAACATTTTATTAAATTAAAANGCTAATAGAGTTATATTAAAAATTCAAATGCCATTTACTATTAAATTAAAAACTCAAACATTTTATTAAATTAAAAATATGTGTTACCATTTAAAAAAACAAAGTTGNTATGTGTTACCATTTAAAAAAATAAAGTTGACTCCCCTCCAAGGCATAAGGGATGAACTTAAAAAGTATTACATAGTTAAAAATTCAAGAATAATATGTAACTAAAAGTAACAAAAAAAAAAAATTATTTAAATTATTTACTTAATCTGTAAATAATTTAGTAGGTTATGATAAAAAGATCTGTATAATTAAAAGATGCAGCATTTCCAGAAAATTTTTAAAATTTAAAAGTTCACTTTGTGTGAAAAAATTGGTATTTTGCATTGCAATTTTTTTAAAATTGCGGAATTCTTGAATACTGCATGCATGTAACTAGTTAGATTTTCAAAATAATTATATCGAATGAAAAAAAATACGGAAGATGCTTTTATAAAAAAAATTATTTTGGTATATTCATTTTTCAAAAAATTATAGCAGTTTTAAGTACCAAAATTACATTACGTTTATTTTTTTAATGTATCGAAGGAGCAGTTTATTAGTGATGCTACAAATGAAAAATTTTAATTTTAAATATACATTTGAATTTTCGTATGTGTTGTGCGGGTCCACGCCGTAGAGGAATTAAACTTCATAAAAAAAAAAACCAAAAAAACTCACTTTTCAATAAAAATGTAAAATATATAATGTGATTGAACAGTAAATAATACAATACAACGTTAATTCTTAATATTAATACAAATGAATAGGATAATGAAATAGAATGAAGTAGAATAATTCTACTTATAATCATAATTATTATGATATGGAATAACACGAGTGTAATTAGCGCATACTAAACCAAGACTGACTGTGGGGGACTTACAGTGGGAGTTCCATACTCATGGTTGTCCTAAATCCTTTGGTCAGCACATTCTTGTGTCCGAAGACAGTCGGACGATCATGTATTCTATTCTCTACGACAGTCTTAAGCTGACATAGCTTAAACCGTGGCAAAAAAAAAAAAAAAACAATAACAATAGAAATCCGTGTGAAGCGTAGGAGGACAAAAAAAAATAGTGAGTCAATAGTTAAGGCGATTGTCGGAACGAAACAGAACGCACAGTAATACACAGTAATATGTCGGTCTTGTCAGGGTGTCAAGGGTGGGAAGACACCCGATGATAACCGATTGTCATATTGATAGGTGATAGGACGGCTGATATCGAGAGACACAAGCAGCGCCAGCCTAAAGCAATGATCGGCGTCCTGTCATATTTACTATGGTTCATAAAAATAAATCAAATTTTAATCTATATATTTTATGGGAAAATCATTATACAAAGTAAAAATGGAAGGTCGTATAGTTAATAAATCACACTGTATATACAAAGTAATATTTTACCATAGGACGCTTATTTTTCAAAAATTGTAATTTTTTAAAGAGAAAGTGATTTGGTATAAAAACTTTGAAATATTATGTAGCTCAATAATTTTTTTTTAATTGCTTCAGGGATAAAAAAAACCTTAACTTCAATGTTTTTGTGATAAAAACTCCTGATTTGAACTTGATAATATGATAGAGACAAAGTTAAAAAATATTGTTCTTATATTTTTTATTCAATCAACCGTTGGCATTTAATATTGTTTCAAAATATGTATTTAAACAAAAATGTATCATTAATCTGGTATTATTAATACCGTAAGAAGCAAACATTTGTTTCCATAGGCGTTAATTATTTTTTATAATAATGTATTATTGCGTTGAATGTAAGTATCACTATTACATATTTCCATTTAAGAAAAATAAATTTAAGGTTTCTTAATTCTGAAGCGATTTAAAAAACAATTATTTGATTCTATAGAGTTTTTCGAACCAAATCACTTTTGCCTCCATAAAAATTAAAATTTTCAATTCTTGTTTTGATTGCTTAGAAAATATGTATTTATCCTTAAAAAAATATTTAAAGTTCATTAAAAAACAGTAGAGAATAAATTATAAATAATATCTTAATGTTTATTTTGATTTAAGGTGAAGGAACGTGTAGCTTAAATAAATTCTTGGAGCTTCCATCTAATAATACTGAAAAAGAATTAAAAAAAGAATTAAAAACAACATTCAAAATAATTGACAAGAATAAAGACGGTTTTATTACTGAAAATGATTTAATCGAACTTTACAATAAATTTAATATTAATTATGACGATAATTTTGTAACAGCTTCTATTAAAAAATACAGTGGAAATAATTCAAATAAAATCAGATTTGAAGGTAACTGAAATATTGAAATAGTAGAATATAGATTGCATATATTACTTTTACATAAAAAAAATATTTAATGAATTTTAAGAGAAATTATTTTATTATAAAATGCAGCATAGTATTAATTTTTAATGATTTTAAACATAAGGTAAATCTATACATAAAAACATAATTTTTAATTGTAGAAATATAAAATTTGACAAATTATGAGAGAACTTCTCATTCATTCAATGACTAACGTTCGTGATTAATTGAATAATTTTTTAGCAAATTTTGTATTCTCAAAAATAAATAATCGTATTAACTTCAACCGTTTATCTACATACATTTTTATATAATTGCAATTTGTCTATGGCATTTGAAGTGTCTTAAATATTGATACGGTAATAAAAGGTTAACGGATAAAATAAATTGTAACGACGTTATGATTTGAATAACCGTGGGTCAATTTATTACACCTTTTTAAATAATAATAATATTATTATAACACTATAATATACAAATGACCGAAAGGTGCGGTTTCAACAAAATAAGGCGCTGGTAAAGAACACGGCAGGTGTGGCGGATGTAAGTCACAGATGAACTGGTTTACATAGTCGCCGACGTGTCTGGCGGTGCTGCATGCCCTGACCAGTCCTATCTGCCGACCGCCGGACAAGACAAACTAGTGTTATCGTCAACACTGATGGGAGCGACGGTGGACAGCTGATATACACTATACTAGCTAACTCACTGTAAATGAGTAGTACGCTATTATGGGCCGTGCCGATATATAAGCGAATTTCTTATAAAACTGAAGATTTTTAAATATTTTTTAAAAGTTATAAGTTATTATAAATATTTATTTATTATTAAATAATATATTTTACGAATTTTTTTTATATTTTTCAGATTTTTTCAAAATTATGACACAAAACTATGACTTTTCAGCTAATTCAAAAAAGAAATTGTGAGATTTTTCCAAAAGTAAATAAATTTCTACTCTATTGTTTGTTCTGTTTACATTTTTATGATTTATAAATTTAATAAAGGAATAAATACTTGTTATACTAAATAAATCTAATGTGAAATTGTTATTAATTAATTTAAAAGTGTAATTTTTATGGAAAAATTATAAAAAGTTATAAATTAGTTAATTCTCATACTTGGACAGAATACTTTCCTTAATATCCTGAATGTGCTTTTTTTAAATATTTATCTAACCTAAAAATAATATTAATACACCTCAATCATGAAATTTCTATAGTCTTTAAAACTCAGGAATTTTGAAAGATCTTATTTTTTACATATTAACATTTCTACTTAAAAATTATAAATTTATAATATGATTGAATATAAGGTTGAAGACGGTATTATACCTGTAATCGTTTTAGCTTTACTCACAATTTAAAATACAATATACTCTTACTTTCGATTCAAATTTACAGTAAAAATAATGTAAATAAAGTCGATTTTAAATTAGAAATTAATTTTCGGAAAGAGGAATATTCGGTATTATTGTAATTTATAACATATTTAGGAATATTTGCCAAAAAAATAAAGAATTTTATAATAAAAAATTATTTATATTTAAAATTTTTAGGAATCAACTTTAATTCTTTTGGACTATATTATGCTATTTATTAAATAATTAGAATATATAATGATCAGTTTTATATCTTCCTATTTCCTGAACATAATATGCCCCATGATAATTTTCTTTTCCAATACAAACGCCGATAAATTTTTTCTATAAGTTGTACAATGTTTGAAATTATGTTTTTTAATTAATTTAACCGCTCGTTTAGGATTATTGACCAATTCCATTTGCGTTCTAAATTGTTCATTTTGCCTGTTAACAAACAAAATCGCATCAAAATTATGTTTAAATATTTTTATTTAATTTTAAAACTTACTAAAAACAGCGTTGTTCATTAATATAAAAAAGTCTTTTTCGAAATTATTTTTGACACTCTGTCTCATCTCCGTGTTGAGTTGTATATATTTTGATAGCCATGTAAACTGCTTATATTGTAACAACTTATGCACCTGTAATTTAATAACATGTTATTATTATACAGGGTGTTCAGTAAATAAGGAAACGAATTTCTATTGTACTCATTGTTTGTAACAATTTAACTGTTTCCTAACTTACTGAACACTCTGTATTATAAGTATAATTTTATGAATTACTTTTTCTACTTTTAATCCGTTCGCCATAGGCCGTTTTAAATTTAGATAATGTACAACGTAGTTTTCTTTCTGATCGAAAGTAAACAACAGTTTTTTGACCCGTGAATTAGGCGGACATTTTCGTTCAGGTAAAAACGGTATTTCGTTGTGGGCATCATGTAACCCTTTCGGGTATTACACCGTCACTTCAAGAACCATTCCTACAGGAGAATCCGCAGGTAACTCTTCTACTGTCTTTAAAATTTTTGATTCGTTGTCCACGTCTAACTACTTAAAGTTACCATACGGCATATGTTGAGACATACTCCAACCATACAAATTATTGACATCCAAATATATAGGGTGATTTTTTTTATCGTAACCCACTCAATTACTTACACAATAACGATAATTTAAACATTTTTTTTTTTTTTATTATCTTTAGTTATACGTTACTCTTGAATTATTAACTATGTAATACTTTTTAAGTTCATCCCTTATGCCTGGTAAGGGTGTTCTCTGTTTTTCTAATTGGGAAAACATATTTTGAATTTAATAAAATTTTTGAGTTTTTAATTTAATAGTAAATGGAATTTGACTTTTTAATATAACTTTAATATACATCGTATATTAACTCAAAAATTTGAAACTTTAAATGTTTATATCTCATAAACAAATAAAGTTATATTAAAAAGTCAATTGCCATTTACTATTAAATTAAAAATTCAAAAATTTTATTAAATTCAAATTATGTGTTCCCATTTAAAAAAAAACAAAGTTGACTCACTTACCAGGTATAAAGAGTGAACTTAAGAAGTATTACATAGTTGATAATTCAAGAATAATGTATAACTAAAGATAATAAAAAAAAAAAAATGTTTAAATTATCATTATTGTGTAAGTAATTGAGTGGGTTATGATAAAACAATCACTCTGTATAATTTCAGATTTTTGTTGTTTGATATCATAATGAGGCTTCTTTTCATTGTTGGCTATGGCATGTTTCAACACCGAAGTTGTCATTCCTCCCCGTATTCCCCTCTAAATAAAGAGTTGCTGTTCAAAATCGCTCATGAGGTCTAGTGAAACGCCCGTATGCAGCAACATAGCATCAAAAGACATACCGGAGCTTGTAAAATAATATGCTAGTTCCAATTTATATTTTAGTAGACATAACTTGCCAAAATTCGTAAAAACGTTCGCAAGTATTGTTACGTCAGTTTTCAGATACAGATCAGAGTACTCACCGAGCGTTTTACAATTGAAATGTTGCCAGACGTTTTGTGTATGTTTGTATTCGGCATCATCAATATGCGTTTCTGACAGTTCATTATAAAAATCGGCTTTTTTCTTCGAGTACATCCCAACTGGAGGAGTATGAATACGGATAAACACCTTTTTGGGTCACCAAATCAATGTCACCGTCCGCTGAAAACGCTTTTGCGGTTTTTCCGATATTTTTATAACAGCGGCGTGCAAATTTTTAGCGAGAGCCGCTAAACTAGTACCCATAAAACAAAATGTATCAACGAACCTTAGCGAAAACTTGTTTGAAACAAACTTTGAAAAAGAAATATATTTTTCTTCTGTAGCAGGTATTACACTGATTCTAACAGTATCTCTTTCAAGGGCTTTAACTAAAAAGTGTCCGTAATACGAGCTGAGATTATGAAAATATATGTTAACAAACTTGGACGTTGTTAATTTTAAATTGCAATTTACAAAGTTACAAAGCGTTTTTCTAAAACTACTTGCAACAAATATAAATATATATAATATAAAATATATATATATATATATATATATATTTTCTTTTTATATTAATTACAATATATTTAACATAGTTATGTGTATGATTTACCTGTCAAATGATCATGGTCTACTACTTTATGATTATTTTCTGTAAAACTACCTTTACACAAGTCACAGCAGGTTTTCTTTATATGTTCTTCAGTTTCTTCGTATGTCATAAAAATAGCAACGTTCGTCTTGAGCAACTCTTCAATTTTCAACGCCACTTCAGTTATATCATCCATGAAACGATTGACTACTTCCTCCGGTTCACTGCTATTATTACATCTTTATATTTTAGGTGTTGTTTGAATATTAAACTGTTGCAATAATTCTATGGGTGCACTATCGGCCGCTTTTACTTTGTATTCATAGCTTATTGCAACATGTTGATGAACAAAATTTGTGCTGCCTTTCTTATCTATGTTATCATTGTTAGACTTGACTAACAGGCTTTCAAAATCAGCATAAATTTCAAATGGATGTTTCTGTGTTTTGCCCCATGACTCGAACTTTAATTTAGTGCCCTCTTCAGGCATTACAGGTAAAAATGGTTTGTTTTTGCCGCAAATTTTTTTATGTTCTTCTAACGCCTTGTGACGGTGTAGTTTATACTTTTTAGGTATAAAATTAAATCCCGTGAAACATCGTTTACAAAATAGCATTATTCCTATCATATGCCTTTCACCATATCCTTCTGACCGTTTACACCTCCAGTCTACCTAGGGAAAGGAAACGGCCGGGGCCGTTTTGGGGGGTATCCAGCTCATATATTACACATCTACTAACTTACATTATGATTGAATTTTTTAATACATTTTATTTATGTATCTAGTATAAATTTTTAAAGTTATAGTCTTGATATGACTGTAATGATGATATAACAATGACATTCTAAAAACTTTATCGAGTCAAGCATTAAATTCTTAAATCCTTTTTTAGTATCACCAAAAAATGTAATAATCGTTTTATATTTTACATATACATAAACGTGAGAATTTGCAATCCAAAGGTTAATGCTGTTTACATCAATAGGGAAAAAATAAAAATCATATTAAAAAGTATGTTTATAATAAAAATACTATAAAATATAAAATTATATATATATAAAAAAAATATAAATTTGTCCATTACCAATATCATTATTAATTTTTTTTATCAAAAATCAAGGGATTGGTTAAAATTTAATGTTGAGCTATATAATTTCTACTTTCTAAAGCATTTCAGCTTCGATGCGAAGCTGAAAAGGTATTATTTACTATAATGTATTTTTTTTTTGTTTTTATTTTTTTGTGTGTCTGTTACCACTTTTTCTCAGCTCTCACCCAACTGATTTTTTTCAAAAATACGTCAAAAGATCACAAATCGTATCTAGTCGAAGACATTACCTTCAAAAATTGAAAAAATTTCCCTCGTTCCCCGTAAATGGGGGAAGTCACCAAAAAAATTACAAATTTTAAAATCACTTATTTTTGACATTTTTCAATTTTTTTTACTTAATTCTGCCATAACTTTTAAAAATAACCAAATCAATATAATTTTTTTATATAGATGCATGATGTCTTTAACTATTATTTGGTATATTTCTTTTGTAAAACTGGCACTTTACTGGTCCACAGGGTGGGACTTAAAATAACAACTTTTTTACAAAAAATTATCTTTTTCAAGTTAACATTTGAAAGTGTCCTGGAAAGTTAGACACTTTTATTTGTATCTTACATTAAAGCAAATGTAATATACTTTATTATGGAAAAAAAAAAATTCGGATTTTATTTTGTCTTCATGGTGAAAATGGCTACCAAATGCTATTTGGCACAGTAGCGGCACAGTGGTGACGTGGCATAGTTGGATCAAGTATTATGATATCCGACGTTGATTAAAATCACTATCATAAAAAACTCTTCGATGCAAATCTTTAGATAGTGTTTAATTTTAAAAAATTGGTGGATTATTCCAAAAACTACATGATCTCCTATTTCCTTATTTATATCCTGATTAAGATAAAGTATGTCGAATGAAAAAGGCGCGGGTAATACTTTTATAGAAGTATTATTGAATTTTAATGAATGTATGACCAATATTATGGATCTAAACTGGGTCGCTCTTTCCCATTTCTTATTATGCTTGTCATGAGCATATGCACTCATTCTCTGGCCTTGGTATAAAAATGTCAATAACTTCCTAAATACTGCTCCAATACTAATATTATAGACTAATAATTTTTTAATAAGATTATTGTTTATTAAGTATGCTAGTTGATTATATGTTTGCCATTTGAAAAAATAAAGTTGATATTCTTTTAAGGCATAATTGTGAACATTAAAAGGACTTCATTATTGATTAGTTGAAAAAATATAAACCTAAAAAGGAACCAAATAAAAATTCTTGAAATTTATTTTTATTTTTTGATTAATAAAATGGTTTATGTGTTAATAAAAACATATTATAAGTATTTTTAATCATAATATGTATTTTTTAATCAAGGATGTAAGTATTAAAATATAGATCTTTGTATGAACATATATTTTATTAATTATTGCGTTAAAACTTTCATGGATTAACTTGTCGTTTGAAGCTTAACGATAATAACGATGTATCCATGTTTTATTAATGTTTATTCTTGAGAAATACAATATTATATTCAAATATATTCCGTCACTGTTTGCTGTATTCCTATTAACGGTATTTTTTTGTTAAATTTATTATTTTTGTATATATATCAAATGTTTTAGTCAGAATAAAATTTAAATTATGAGTAATGGCATTTAAAAAGTTTATGATGAAGATTATTTATTAGAAAACAATTGTTAAACTATGATATCATCTAAAAAGTGATAATAGAAAATAAATTTTAAATTGAAATAGACTGTAAATTATATTTTATCTGTGCATTCAATAAAATTATCTATAAATCATACACTCAAAATACCTGCTACTTTTGTTAATATTAAATAAGTTTTATTGTTATCTTATAATGTAATTAAAAATATATTTTACTAGACAGTTTTCCAATAATTTTTTAATAGTAATAATGTAAACAATAATATCATGATTTATTGAAAAAATTATTATTATAGTAAGGTAGTGAGCGAGGCAAGTTGACGATAGCAGCCAAATGGTGTTCTTAGATGTTTGCGAATTTTTTACAGAAATATTTTTAAATATATTAACCAAACAATGATAATTTTTTTGAAAATAATTTAAATAGATCTATATGTATGTGTTCGTTTATTTAAACGCAATTATATTTTTTTGCAAGTACGATATAATATTGTTGTTTCATGACGTAAGGTCTAATTTGAGCGTAAATAAATTAATAAAACATCATTTTATTGAAATAGCTAAAGAAAAACATCGCAAATCAAGAGATTTAAAATTTTAATCTTATTTAAATTAGGGGAGTACTAGTCGGAATTTTCGAATAAAAATTAAATTAAAAATATTGATTATTTTGTTATTTGTATATAAAGTTTTTATATATAAAATTTTATTTTAATTACTTGAACTAGTTACTGAAAAAAATAAACTTAATGATTATCCAGGAGCAAACATTCGATTGCATCAAGTCGATTTCTCCTTATAAATATTTTTGTACACCAATTTTTTTTAATTACTCGGTATACCAATTAAAAAATTGTATAATACATTCAACATTTCTAAATTGGATGGAGGTGAATCCCTTTATATTGAGTGATACATATATAATACATTTTTTAAGCATTGCCTAAATTTAGCTTAC